TAAAGGCGTTTGACTGTGTGGATCATAACAAACTGTGTCTGACTCTGAAAAGAACAGGAATCCCAAACACTTGATTGTGCTAATGCCAAACCTATACTTGAACCAAGAGGCAGTCATCAGAACCGAGCAAGGAAACACTGCATGGTTCAAAAGTGGGAAGAGTGTATGCCAGGGATGTGTCCTGTCTACATACCTTTTCAACCTGGATGCAGAACAGATTATCTGAGAGGCTGGGCTCTATGAGGAGAAATGTGGCATCAGGATTGGTGGAAGATCTATCAACAATCTGCTTTATGCAGATGACACAACCCTGCTTGCTGAAACTGAGGAGGACCTGAAGCCCTTGCTGTAGAGGGTCAAGGACTGCAGCCTCCAATATGGATTGAGGCTCAATGCCAAGAAGACAAAGATTCTCACCACTGGATCAATTGGCAGCATCAATCTGGATGGTGAAGAGATTGAGATTGTTCACAGCTTTAGTCTGCTTGGCTCCACAATCAACACTCTTTTCACCAGCAGCCAGGAAATGAAAAGAAGTATTGTGATGGCAAAGTCTGCTGTTAGGGACTTCTCTAAAGTACTGAAGAGCAACGGTGTCTCTCTGGATACTAAGGTGCATCTGATACAGGCCATGGTCTTTGTAATCACTTGTTATGTGTTAGAGAGTTGGACAATGACTAGCAAGGATAGAAGGAGAATTGATGCCTTTGAGCTTTGGTGTTGGAGAAGAGTAGTGAGGGTACCATGGACTGCTATGAAAACAAACAGATTCATCCTGGATAGGGTTAAACTGGGCTGCTCCTTGGAGGCAAGGATTCTGAGACTTCATCTGACATACTTTGGTCATGTTGTAATGAGAACATGCTTGGGAGGGTGGAGGGCAGGAGCAGGAGGGGAAGGCCCTCTAGGAGGTGGACTGATTCGGTGACTGAGGTAATCAGGATGAGTGAGTTGGAGAAAATGAGATTGGCACAGGACAGAACACACTTTAGGGCTGTTGTACATAGGGTTACTATGAGTCGCAAGTGACTCGACGGCACATAACAACAACAACAACAACATTTTTTATTATTAAATTTTATTAGTTTTAATGAACATTTACAGGGATTTTGGGTTTTCATTCATTCATTCATTCATTCATTGTTGCACTGTTTTCTCCACCCTCCTCCCCAGTTTGTTCTTCTTCCCCCCGGATGTCTGTTTTAATTGTCCAATTGCCACAGTGCTTGTCAAAGCCAGTTCTGATTAATCTCCTTTGTCAGTGTGTCCCTTGCCATTCCCTATCACTCCTCCCTGAGAGAGACTTCACCCTGATTCATAAGGAAAAGGGGATGGCGTATTCTCTTAGCTACTTCCTGCTGAAAAGGGACGCTGTGGGTTTCAGGGTGAAGGTCTTCAGTAATAAATAAACTGAAGAGAACTTTTAGGGAATAGGAGTAGGAATGTCTCCTTTCTCCATACCTTTTCAAACTGTATGCAGAATAGATCATTCAGGAGGCTGTACTCTGTGAAGGAGAATGACACATCAGAATTGGAGGAAGGCTCATCAATGACTTGTGTTATGCAGAAGACACTACCTTTATTCACCAAAACTAATAAGGATCTGAAGTGTTTGCTGCAGAAAATAAAGGTCTAGAGTTGTCAATGTAGATTGAAGCTCAACATTAAGAAAACAGATGCCCATCATTGGGTCAATTAGCAGCACCATGATAGCTGGAGAAGAGATTGAGATCACTAACAATTTCATCTTGCCTGGGTCCATAATCAACACTCTTGGCACCAGCAGTAAGGAAATAAAAAGATGCATTGCTTTGGGACATATGCTATTAGAGACCTCTCCAGAAGGCTAAGGAGAAATAATATTAGTCTAGAGACTAAGGTGAGTCTGATCCAACCCATGGTCTTCTCAATTACTTGCTATGCCTCTGAGAGTTGAACTAAAGATGACAGAAGAAGAATCTATGCCTTTGAGTGCAGTGCTGGACAAAAGTATCGAACACGGATTGGCAAGAGTATAAACAGATACGTCCTAGAGAAGGTGAGGTGTTCTATGAAGCATTACCATTGTTGCCTTAAGAAGCACCCTGGCTCTCGGCTGGATGCTGCTGTGTCAGCACATGGGAGCCCTGGTTCGAACTCGAAATAAACTTTTTTAATTAGGAAAAAAAAAGAATCACCCTGGCTGTACTTTATCTAAGATGTACTTGTCTGTTCTCTTGGCAATCCATAGGCTAGTCAGTACTCTTCTCCTAGACTGCGGGTCTACTCTTCTGTCATCTTTAGTCAGTGTGGTATCATAACAGAAATTAATCCCATTACTATTGGATCAATTCCAATTACTGGAAGTCCCTATCAGGTTTCCAAAGATGTCAATCTTAATTAGAGGTGGCTTCATCTTTCTCCTGAGGTGACCTGAACTCTGTCCTATCCTGTGCTTTCCTCACCATCTCTGACAGACCTGAGCTCAATGCTGAAGTCACTGTGTCGATCCATCTCACTGAGGGTCTTCTTCTTCTTCACTGAACGTATATCTTTCCAAGAATGATGTCTCTTTTCACAAATGATGTCCCTTTTCAAGGATTAGCCTCTCTTAGCAACATGTCCAAAATACAGGAGATAAAACTTTGTCATGTTTGCCTCCAGCAAGCAGTCTGGTTGCATTTTTCCCAAGACATATCTGTTTATTCTTTTGACAGCCCATGGGATATCCAGTAATTTTGTCCAACACCACAACTCAATTATTCTTCATTCATCCTTATTTATTGTCTATCTCTCAGATGCTTAACAGGTGATTGAAAAGACTATGGCTTGAATCAGGTGCACCTTAGTCCTCCAACAGGCATCATTGCTTGTAAGTATTTTGGAGAAGTCCCTAACAGTGGACTTGTCCAGGGCAGTATACCTCCTCATATCCTGACTGCTACGAACAAGAACGTTGATTGTTGATCCAAGCAAGATGAAATCATTGGTGACTTCTATCCTTTCTCCAACTATCATGACGTCGTCTGTTGGCTCTGTGGTGAGGAACTTTGTTTTCTTGATGTTGACATATAATCCGTATGGAAAACTGTAGCTCTTGATTCTCTACAATTAGCATTTCAAGGATGAAGTTCAAGTTGCACTGAAGGCATTGGCAAAAATAAGGCCTTAGGAATTGATGAGATTTCAATTGACATGTTTTAACCAATACATACATACAGCCTTGTGCATGCTCACCAGTATATACTAGGAAATTTATAGGACAGCTGTCTGGTCGACTGAATAGAAGAGATCCATACTTGTTCCCTTTCTTAAGAATGGTGACTCAACAGAATGTGGAAATTATAGAATAGTATTTTTTTTTTACTCTTTAAAAATTTTATACTGATTTACAAAGTTCGCATACCTTGTTATATCACATACAAGTAAAATAAAGTTGATAATCATTCAAAAATGGTTGGAAGAGTACATTGACAGAGAACTACCAGAAGTTCTAGCTGCAGCTGGGTTAGAAGATTTGGTGGCATCAGGGACATCATTGCTGATGTCAACTGGATCCTGGCTGAAAGCAAAGTATACCAGCAGAACATGTACTTATTTATGCTTTATCGACTGTGCAGACATTTGACTGTGTGGGAACATAACAAACTGACATTGAGATAAATGGGAATCCCAGGACACATATTTGTGCTCATGCAAAATCGTTATACAGATAAAGAAGCTGTTGTCCAAAAAGAGCAAGGGAACACTGCATGGTTTAAAATTAGGAAGGGCATGCATCAGGGCTGTATCTCCTCTATACCTGTTCAATCTGTAGCAGAGCAATTCTTGAAGCCAGACTCCATGGAAAGGAATATAACATAAGGATCTCAGGAAGACTCCTCAACAACGTACATTATGCAGATGATGCAACCTTGTTTGCTGAAAGTGAGGAGGGCTAAAAAAGCTTGCGTTAGAATATCAAGGAATACATCCTTCTGAAGATCAGCTTGTAAATTCAAACTGGGTGCCCACAGAACAGTGACTTTTTAAATACATGCTTTCTGAATTCAAGCTCTAGCACTGCCTAGCTGCTGGGCTTAATCTCTGAGTGCCTAGGTTTCTGGCCTGTAAAAGAAAAAGTTAATGCTCAAGGGAGCACCGTGGCAAAAATTTGCTGTTGGTGGAGTCCGAACAGGAACTAGAACTGACACAGCTGATCCTCCAGCAGGTTTTCAGTGGTGGTATGTCTCAGGAGAGTGGATTGCCTAACCTTTTTTCCCGGAACAGGTGGATTTGAACTATACGCCTTCGGGATTGCAGTGTAGCTTCTTACCACATAAGTGTCGGTATTATTATTTTTGGCATATTGATAGGAAGGTGACGGGCGGAGAAACTTCCTGAAAAGACAGTAAATTCTGATGGTTACAGTCTAAGCGTCTTTCAAAAAGTGAGCATCTTTTCTGGTTTTGCCCTCCTCTTCCACCTCTTCCCCATCATACCTCTTCATTGGATTTTATTCCAGAAGCCAACAGTGTGTTCGTCAAATTCTGTCAAAACTAAGTGCGTTTGTCAAACTCCATACCCTCTCTGAGCCTCAGGCCACTGAGGCTATTGGACCTTCAAGGCTGGCGATTCTGAGAATGAACGCTTCTTTAGGGCTGGAGGGAGCCTTTCCCAGACTCCAAGGCTTCATTCACATCCCCAGCCCGGCATTCACCTCCTCTTCTGGTTACCCAGCCGCCGCCACTTGCGCTCCCTGGGCTGCGCCCTGCGCCCCGCACCGCACTGCCCGGGGGAGGCGCCCTAGGGCACCCCGGGGCGCAGAGATGCCTGTGTCCAAGGCCCCACGCACCTTCGCACCTTCGCCGGCAGCCGCCCCGGGGCCCGTGGAACCTTTATACCGAGCGGGCTGGCCGCTCACTAATGTTTAACTCTGGGAGGAAAGTTGGGAGCGCTGAGTGACTTGGCGGCGCCTGCTGATCGCCCTGCCTTCTGCCGGAGCTGCTTTGGAGGAAGCGCAGTTCCGCTGAGACTCCGACATGATGGTAAGTGAGTGGCGCCTCTCACACTTCTCCCGCCACAGGGTCGCCTCGGGGTCGACTGGGAGGGGGCTGAGGATCCTCCCTTCCCCAAATTCTCCTTATACTGCACCAGAAGCTCGCAGAATGATCTCGGACTCCCAAATGCCAGAAGCCCCAGGGCCACCCACTGACAGGTGAAGGAACGTCCCAGGGCTCTTTTTCTCAGGGACTTTCACGGTTTCTTCTGGGACCAGCCCAGGAGAAACGACAGACGCCCACAAAACGCCAGCAGAATACACACTTCTCTCCAAGTGACAATGGGTAGAAAAAAAAGGCCCTGAGGCCGCAAGTTCAAGGGCGCTTTTGCTCATGCAAAAGCAAGCAGGAGCCTGCTAAAGCTTCCCAGCCCCCCTAAATCCTTCTTCCCTTGTTCTCCCACTTGCAATCCCACTCCTCAGGCCCCACCCTCATACTCAGACTGGGGGCAAGTGCTTCCCTCTGACTGCACTTGATCTGACTTGTTTGTAGACACTGTGGAAGGTCCTCTTGGGACTCCTGGGTGCTGCTGCGCTCATCACCGTCATCACTGTGCCCGTGGTTTTGCTGAACAAAGAGAGTAAGTTTGAAACTTTTTTTTTTAAAGTTGGACGCCAGGGGTTTAGGGACTTTGAGGGGCGCTTGGACCAGCGCAGGGTTCTAACTGCTTGCTCCTTGTTGGGAGGCTGCATTAACTTTGCCGTGACTCCAGTATTTGGGCTGTGAACTCTGCAAACCGCCACGTTTTCATATGTGTAACATGTATGCTTCCTGAAATTAGGAGGAAGTCTTTTTATTACGTTTAAAAGTCACTTTTGTAGTTGTGATCACTGAAAGAAAAGAAACGACATTTACATACCTCCCAGCTTGCCAGGGAGGAGCCCTTTAAGTGGAGAAAGAGATGATGAAGAAAGCACTAAAGTAATACGTGAGAAAAGAATCCGGAAATCTGATTGTTTTTCTTCTGATGTGATGGGAATGCACCATTTGTAAAGTTAGGATGCAGGGAGATAAACCAGAAAGTTGGCGTGTAGGATAAAGCTCAGAGGGAGTTAGATAGCTGTCCTTGTTATGTTCAGTTGAGTAGGAATTGACCCCTAGCTGACCCTCCAGCTCATTTTCAGAAGCAGTAAACCGTGCAGGAGATTGAACATCCTTCTCCCAGTGGAGCAGCTGGCAAATTTCAAGTGTCCATCTTTGGGTTGGCAAACCAACTCCTTATCATCAGAGCCACCAGAGCTCCCTCTGGGTTATTAGGTTTGGTACTGGGCAGTGTGTGTCCACGAGAGGGACAAGAGACAGTCTCTGAAACCCTGGGGTTTATTTGAGTCAGAATTCTCAACAAGATTTTTTGGTTTATGGCGAAGGCGCTTTGGTAGATTTTTATCCCCCCTTAAAAAAACTTCATGTAATTTACTGTGCCTAAATGTTGCAGTTTAGCTCTAGTTCTTAATAGAAAACATTCGGGTAATTGAATGCACACTATTTAATGCAACTCAATGAGAATACTGGTTTGGGCTTCTTTTGGCCCTCTTTTTATGTTTGTACTTTCATTTCCCTGTTAGCACTCTAGTCAGTGAACTGAAGCATTTTATTCTGTCTGAATGCTTAGCATATCCAATCAGTGAAGAATTGTATAGACAGCTCTTCCCAGAGGGAGTCTTTTCCAGCTTTTCAGGTGAAAATTCAAAATTAGTTCCATTTTTCCTTGTAATCAACAACCAGTTGCAGATTGATTCCTACTCATGGTGACTCCACAGGTGTCAAATAGAACTGAGCTTCCTAAAACTGTCAAGATTTAATTTTTTCATAAGTAGACTGACAGAACTATCTTCTGTGTCACCTCTGGGTGGATTCATGCCTACAACGTTTCAGGTAACAGCCAAAGACTGTAACCATACATATTCCTTGGGAGAATTATAGCCATCCCTGTTTACCCTGAAATTTCAGAGAGAGAATAAAGCTGTCAAGAGTTAAAGAATGGAGTGGGTTGGTCTGTTGATAATTACATATAATTAATTAAGAAAGTGCCTGCTACCAAGTTAGATTATGAAAAGTATACATCACCTCCTTTTTATTTTATTCCTTCATGCTGTTGTTATTGTTATGTGCCATCGAATCACTTGCAAATCATAGCGACCCTAAGTACAACTGCCCTAAACCCTGCTCTATCCTGCGCCAATCACACTGCCTCTGACATACCCATCCCGATTACCCCAGTCACTGAATCAATCCACCTCATAGAGGGTCTTCCCCTCTTGCGCCATCCCTCCACCCTCCCAAGCATGATGTCCCTCTTCATGAAACTGTCCCTCCTTGCAACATGCCCAAAGTATGTCAGATGAAGCCCCAGAATCCTTGACTCCAAGGAGTAGCTTGATTTAACCCTCTCCAGGATGAATCTGTTTGTTTTCTTGGCAGTCCATGGTACATTCAATACTCTTCTCCAGCACCACAGCTCAAAGGCATCAATTCTCCTTCTGTCCTCCCTAGTCATTGTCCAACTCTCTGATGCATAACAAGTGATTGCAGAAACCATGGCCTGTATCAGGTACACCTTAGTCTCCAGAGAGATACCGTTGCTCTTGAGTACTTTGGAGAGGTGTCCCTAACAGCACACTTCATGTACGCTGTTGAAATAGGGCTTTTTTTTTTGGTAAGGCCATACTTGTTTACTAAAACAGTGACACACACAAAGTCCAGTTGTAGAAATAAAACCTGAGCCATTCATTCATTCATTCAAAAAAATAGTCAACAGATCATTTGCCAGGCACTGTGCTAATTGCTGCAAATACAAATATCAAATTTTATAAATATAAGTGCCCCTGATACCAAGAAATTTGTAACATAATGAGAAATAAGATCTACAAACCTAAGTAAAGTAGATAGCCCAGTAGTGGGGCATCTCTAAAACCTCATAGAAAACTTAGCTTCCCTGCCAAGATGTGTTGAGCGAATTATCAGAATGTCCCTTAAGAAGAGTCAGAAGGATAGTGTACTTTGATAAACTACTTGAAATAACCAAATAGCCTGTGTGTCTAGTGCACACAGCTGATTCTCAGGGGACTATCTGAAGTTTATTGTTGGTTGGTATTGTTATATGCTTTCAAGTAAAGTATGACTCTTGTTAGGTGGCATCAAATTGGTTCAAACTCAAACTAGTTATGTCTCCATCCACTGGTACCAATTACCCTTTCAATTGGTTCTGACTCATTGCAGCCTCTTATGTGCCAGAGTAGAACTCTACTCCACAGTATTTCCCATGACTGATATGTTAAAGTAGATCACCAGGCCTTTATTTTTAAGACCCTCTGAGAGATCTTGAACCACCAACACTTCCATTCTTTTCCATTACTTAAGGATTTGTCACCATCCAATTGCTATTATAATTTAATAAGATAATTTAGGGGATCTTGAACAAAACTTCTCTGGCCTTTACAAAGAGCACTTAAGATCCTCAGGGAAAGTCAGAGAGGACTTCTCGTAATGGAAATACCTGGTTGCACATAGACTGAAGCCTTTGGCTGCTAACTAAAAGGTCTGGGGCTCAAATCTATCAGCTCCTCTACAGGAAACGAGTGAGGCAGTCTACATCCATAAAGATAACAGCCTGGGAAGCCCCATGAGACAGATCTACTGGGTCACCATTAGTTGGAATCTATTTCATGACAGTGTTTGTTTGTTTGTTTGTTTCTGTTTCTCTGGGAAAGGTATAATAATTAACACCATTTTCTAGAATTGAGAATTGAGATTTCCAGAAAATTATTCCCTTGTGTGTCTTTATAGAAGTGGAAGATTGCACCTTTTATTTTGGGATTGTAAGAGGATCCCAGACCAGAAGATGACATGGACAAAAAGAAAAGGAATTCGGGTTTTGCCCATAGATGATGGAGGACTGCTGGGGAGTTTGGAGCAGGGGGCATCATACTCAAACTGTTGGACATGACACTGACAAAGTGATTGATGAGGAGTAAGGTGAGAGGAGAGATAAAGGAAAGTGATCCAGGAACTTGATGGTGCAGATCAGAATTTGAAGTAGATGGATTTGATTTGAGAATTATTCAGACATGTTACAGAAGACTTTGGTAACTTACTAAGCATAAGAAAGAAGAGACAGGGTGGCTAAGGATGCCTGTTGTGGGTGACGTTATATGGGTGTTTGGCTTCTTTTAACTTTTTTATTGTCATTTGGGGGAATGTTTATAAGAACAAATTCTTTTTCCATTCAATAATTCATGCACATTGTTTTGTGACATTGATTACAATACACACAGCAATTCTTTCCACTTCCTCCGTGCTTCCTGTTTCCATTCGTCCTTCTGCCTATCCCTTCCTGCCTCCTAGCTTTATTCCTGGGCGCATTCCACCCTTTTGATTTTTGTATAGTTGAGTTGATTGTTCTACGGAGTGCATTCCTCCCTGTGTTATTGATCACTATATGAGCCTGTCTTTTGCTTAGCTGAAGGTTGAGTCACAGCGTGATTTCAGCTCCTGGCTCGAAGGGCTCTAAGGGCCATATTTTCAGGGTTTCAACTAGTCTCTGCCAGACCAGTAACTCTAATTTGTTTTGCATACTTTTTTGGGTTTGTTTCATGCTTTTCTCCCATGCTCCAGAACTTTCTGCTGTGATCCTTTTCAGAGTGGTTGATGGTAGTTACAGGGCACCATCTAGTTTGCCTGGTCCCAGTGTCACAGATACTGAAGTTCACATAGTCCTTTGGACTGACAGTCTCTTATTTGTCCTTCACTCTTCTCCGCTACACATGAAGAGAGAGAAACAGTTCTGCCTTAGATGGCCACTCACAAACTTGACACCCAGTTAACTTTTGCCAAAGTAGAATACTTGGCATTATCTTGGTAGACTGTTGTTCCTGTTAGGTATTGTAGACTAATTACAAGTAGGCCAGATATGTATAAGAAAAATTTCTGGTCTCCTGCATTATTTTACCTGAAAATTTTATCTGATACAATGTTTTTGGCTGTAGGTAACAATGTGGACCTGACAGAAAGTTTAAGTAGTGAAAAAAAGAAATAAAGAGTTGCCATTTAATAGATTTTTAAACTAATAACGACTCCGTGTGTGTCGGAAGGGAATTGCTCTTCATAGAGATCCTAGGGGCTGGTTTTCCAGCCGTGCACTTGAACTACCTACCTGTCTTTCAGGTAGTATCTTTGTACTACTCACATCACCTCGTACTTCACTGAAATGACAGACTGATATTATTAATGTTTTCTATAATTTGGAGTCCAGAAATCAAGACGTTTTAGAGTTGGTTAACTTAGTGGCCCAACAATGTGAATTCATCTTTCATCACTGCATCCTCAGCCTGCAAGCAACAGAGCAAAACATGCCTCAATCCTGTGCCATCTGCACAATATCGAATAGGCTTTATTTAAGCCCATTGTTATAGCCACTGTCAATCCATCTCTTTGAGGCTCTTTGTCTTTTTCACTGACCTTCTATCAAGTGTGCTGTCTTACTCCAGGAATTATCCTTTCCTGATAACAGGCCCAAAGTACGTGAAAGGAAGTTTCCTCATTCTCAACTCTAAGGCACATTCTGGCTGCACTTCTAATATA